TATTCTGTAGATATTGATTATAAAGTCCAGTTATTGAAAATTATATTATAAAATTACACAATTTTCACTTATAAAAGGGAAACATCCTTTAAGAAAATGCGTAGGTTATAAGTTTTCCTGTAAACAAAACAACAAAGCAAAAAGCCAGTTTTTATACGTTTATAACCATTGCAAGTGGGTGTTATAATTGAAGATACTATTACAACTCTCTTTGATCTCGCTTAGTATCTCGTAAGCTTCTTAACTTGATTATTTGTACATTAAATACAGAATATTAAACAGCCGGGTTTCCATGAACTCGTATTTAAAGCACATTAAACTGGGATACTTGTTTTATACAGTAGTAACCAAATATTTATTGATTGAAGTGAATTTTAATAGCAATAATAAACAAAAGTGGTCTAATAATATAAAGTTATTTTGAAAAAGTACAACCTAAAATTTATGTAGAGATACTAAACTGCGTGCACTCATAAACTCCAGAAATTAATATACCTTAATGCTGTCAAGTCGATAACCGAACATAGGGATGTTTTATTACATGCAATTATTAAGGGGCGGCGTCACCCTTTGGAAAATACGACGTCATATAGAAAGATTCATATGAATACCTTCAGCTATCTTTCCAAATAGAGAATAAGATAAAATAAGTCTAACAAATGCAACTTTTGAGGAGCGTTACGGTTAGAAAATACTGTTCCTGTGAGAAAGAAAAAGATTAGGGTATATACACTGTGAAAATTTTGACATGTTTTTTTAAAAGTTATTTCAAGTTTCTCAATTATTACAATTTAATTTGTAATATCAACTAAAATACCTANATTTAATCCCTACAGTCTTTCAGCGTCTCTCACAATCTTTTACAGTCTCTCAGTTATTGCCTAGGTGTTTTATAGATCTCTCACAGTCTCTGTATGAGAGACTCTAACGATTAAAATTGTTAATTGAGAGATTCGAGTCTCTCACAGAGAGACCGAATGAATAAAACTAAAAAATTGAGAGACTCGAGTCTCTCGTTTAGAGACACTAAACAGTTTTTTTGACAGTCTCTAGACAGTCCCTCTCAGCGACACCAGAGAGACTCGAGTCTCGCTTTCAGAGACTCTGAGAGACTGAACATTTTTATCTCGGGGTGTACTTATGTATATTCCAAAAGACTAGAGGTAGGAATATTAATTCAGTTTAATCCGAAGCGAATGATAAAGGATAGAAAACGATGGGGTCCGTCGCGCGCTATCACATACATGCCCCACATGATCTTTCTTTATGTATAACCTTTGAAATGACAGCTCGAAAACAATAACTGGAAAATTTATAAAAGAAAACGGAAAAATTGCAAGTTTTAGTAAACTGAGGATACAACCAAACGGTGGGTTAGATGAAAGTGTCATAAAACGTCGAGATCTAGCGGAATCCAAGTTAAATTTATGACAGGATATAATGTACCTTAAGCTGCCTTTTCTAAATCGTATGAAAGCGAAGGGATAAATCGGGGAACGTTGTTTCATTCTCTCTGGAATACATGAAAATCTATTTTCTCTTTGTCTTTTTAATCGCTGAAATAATTGAAATGGAATTTTCAATCACGAAACACTTTATTTAAAACTGGATGTCGAGATTTTGTTTATGAATGAAATAGTAGAATAAACATTCATATTTTGATTGTTAATTGCAATAACAGCGCTTTCTTTCTAAAGTTAAGTCCAATACCTACGCGCACATCCTGAATTTTGTTTAAAGATTATAAACCCCCATGGAAGACGATGCACTGAATTCTGATCTTGCAGTAAAAATTTAAAGTCACGTTAGGATTTTGAGATCCTTATCCTTACATTAATGTAAAAAAAATGCAATTTGGACTTAAATATCCGAGATACTGTAATCCATAGAATTTTGTAATTGAATTATAATTTTACATGGAGAAAACAAAATTTTTATGAAAACGTAGAAATTACAATTTTCGATTGTAAATTATTGAATTTGCCGTAATTTATTTCTGCTGGGATTTGATTTTTAAAAATTCGGGTCCAAATTGTCATTTTTATAATTTTCGTTTACGAAGCAACGGGATAGTGGGATAAATTGTAAACATCGCTTTAATATTTAAGTAAATTTACCTTTTTCATTTTCTTCGCGTATCTACGAAAAAAAAATGCTGTTCCCGATGGATAAAAAAATTAGTTTTATATGGTCGTCGACGATGTTTGACATGTATGTATTTAGGACATCAACCGCGAGTAAAATCTAGTAGGTAATAAGTGAAACGCCTTTTTAGTAAAAAATCGAACTGAATAATAATTGTGTTAGTTTTCTGCAGTATGAACTTATCTGATCACCTTGATCTGCAATTCTCTTGTCAATTTAGAAGAGATATGCTGGAAATGTTTTTGAATTCTTATTCTTGTAAGAGCTTAATCCTGAGATAAATCTATAAGAAGCTGGTATTTGGAAAACAGTGGTTAACGATACATGCATGATGAAACGTATTAACAAATAAATAAAATCAATGTAAAATATAAAAGATTGTATTTTTTTGTTCTATATATTTGCTATCACATTATGTTGAAAATCTAATTAATTGTCTGCATTTTGTTATCTATCGTAATAAAAAAAATAACGAAACTTGTTCTTAAATGTTGTAATATTGCAAGATTCTAACAAATAAATATTAGGTAGATTGATACATTGATTTTTTGTTATTTAGATAAGCGGGACGGGTGGCCTAAGTTTACATTCAATGTTGATGTAGTTTCATATCTTTTACCTAGTAGATAATTTAAATATGCTGACGTATAAAACTGACATCATTACTTGGCCTATATGCACAAATTAAATTAAAATTTTACCGAAAGAATGTGAGTTTACGTTAATTTCTCCAACTATATTTTTATCATCTATTGTTCATCATCATCATAGGGCCGTCAGTCCTAAGACTAGTTGGACACGTACCTCCACTCTTTCCTATCCTGAGCTAAACTTCGCATTTCCCTAAAACTAGAACAGCCCACATCCTTAACTATCTGCGAACAGTAATCTAATCTAGGTCTACCTCTACCCCTTCTAACTCCTGTTTCTGCCTCTAATATGTCTCTGACTAGACCTTCATGCCTGAGAAGGTGTCTTACCAACCTATCTCGCCTATTGTTTATTAACTTCCATAGAGTCCTTTGTTCTCCTATTCTTTCTAATACCTCTTCATTTCTAACCTTTTTTACTCACGTTATCCTCATCATTTGCCTATAACACCACATTTCGAAGGCTTCTAACCTTTTCTTCTCCGCCGCGCCCACTGTCCATGTTTCGCACCCGTACAACGCCACACTCCAAACATACACCTTTAACAACCTTTTTCGAATTTCTAAATTAACATTAACGTTCTATTGTTGGAGAAATAGAAAAAAGAAGGTTTCGATTAAGTTGGTAGCACAGTTAAATATGGGTCCAGTCGAAGAAAATTTACATAGGAAAAAGTTATTCAGAATGCTAAAAAGAATTTTAAAAAATCTAAATTGTCTAGTAAATCGTTTTAGTAAAACTTTAACCAAATATTTCATTTTACTTGAATTCTATTTTTCAATGGTACGCTTCACCACAAACAGATTCAAATATCAAAGAAATTCCACCATCATCAACGGTCAAGAAAAATCAGATAGCATGAAGTGCTTATACTTGCAGCAAACTCAAAGAATTTTATCATGACAATCTCCACATGACTAATAAAAGTACAAGGATTTTTTAAGTGAAATCATTGAGTAAGTTTCACATGAAAATCTAAAGCCTTTGGTATTTATAATAGCTGGCATTTATACAAATAATGTTACAAATTTGAAGCATTTTTTTTATTATACATAAAATTGAATGAATTAAAACGTTCGAAGTAGACTCAATCAATGGCCCCTGATGATGTACCAGATGAGGTAGAATATGTTGAAAATCGATGAGTAGGAATTGGTGTAGACTTAGGAAGGTCATTCTTCTACAGCATTTTATGATGTATCATGGAAGTGACCATCTGGATGATTTCGGTCCCACCAATATTTTTTAACAATCAACTTTAACGAACTTTAATTTTGGTTCTTCTCAATAATATACAGCTATGAAAATCTGTGTTTTCAAACACGCTGAACCAAAATAGGGTTGCCAATACTCATATTCAAATATTTATGGTTATGAGAGACATTTACCTATATGACGTTATGAAAATCATTTATTAGAAAATAAATTTTTAAATTTCAACGGTATAATAAATATATAACTATAAAAAATTGTTTTCAATTTTGGATTTGTATTATTTCGGGTTCATTTGGGATATCTCATTCAATCGTATAAATATACTCGCTCACTGGTGATAAAGACTATCAATAACGGTTTCAAAAACGTATTTGAAACGTAACAATACGGTTTCATAACGCACACTATAAAAAAAATTGATGCCCTAGTTACAAATATTATTACGTAAATTTTTCTAGCCAAAACGGTCTTTATAGTAATACTCCCCGCGGCTTCACTACCAGAAATTGATATTGTTTCTCCATAAATGTAATGTAGCCATCTTAGATTTCAAATACAAACGTAGCAACATTTTATCCTTAAGGGTTGATTTTTAAATATTGCCAAAACACGTATTTGTTAACTAAAATTGAAAACCAGCTTAAAATCTCAGAGTTCCCATATTAAAAATGCTAATATGAAAGTTATCAAAAAATTGAGAGATAAGGATTGTTTTTACGTAAAAGCTGACAAAGGTAATAAAGTTGTGATTTTGGATAAAAAAGACTATTACGATCGGGTTGATGACCTTATTAACAACGGACCTTATTCAAAATTAAATAAAAATCCTTTACCTAGTATGGTTGCTGGGTTTACTAAAACCGTAAAACAATGTCACAACATTATTACTCCTACATTAAAACGAAATTTACTTGTATCATGTCCAACAGTTCCCCGTTTGTACTGTTTGCCCAAGATACATAAACCAGGTAAGTCGATGCGACCAATTGTCTCTGCAATTGGTGCACCAACTTATAAATTAGCCAAGTGGTTGACAAATGAATTCAACAACCTCCCTATTAAACCACCTAGTTTTTCAGTTAAAAATTCTATTGAATTCATAAACAAAGTCAAAGACGTAAAACTAAAAGACAGTGAGGTTATGGTTTCATTTGATGTTTGCTCCCTTTTTCCAAGTGTACCTGTTCCGCTTACTTTGACGTATTTAGAGGATTTACTTAAAGAAAATGGTTTCTCCGCCGACATTGTAGCTGAGTACATAACTCTGGCTTCAATGTGCATGCGGCAAAATTATTTTCAGATAAATGGTTGCTTCTACGAACAGAAAGAAGGAACAGCTATGGGGAATTCTTTATCACCCTTTATAGCCGACCTTTTTATGAGTCGTTTTGAAAGTGACCTTAGCCACCTTGAGTTTTTTCCTCGAATATGGCTTAGATACGTGGACGACATTTTTGCTATCTTCGATTTAAGTTCCAGAAGTCTTCAAGACTTTCTTGATGTTTTAAATTCACGTTTCCCTTCGGTTAAATTTACAGTAGAAATGGAAAAAGATGGCAAATTACCATTTTTAGATACGTTGGTTATAAGAAATGGGAATTCTTTAGAATTCGACATCTACAGAAAACCCACTAATACCTCTAGATATATACCCAACGACTCTAATCATTGTGTTCAACATAAAATGGCTAGTTTTAACTTCCTTGTACACAGATTACTTAGCTTCCCTCTTAGTAAAAATAGATATAATAAGGAACTCTGTACAATTAAGAAAATTGCAAAAGACAATGGTTACAATTGTAACATTATTGATAAATTAATTAATAAGATAAAATTTAGGAATTTTATTTCAAGATCTACGACTTTTCAAACAGATGCTAATAAAACCAAGTTTATTACTATGCCATACGAGCCAAGATTTACTCGCGGACTCGAGGGTATTTTTCGAAAACTTGGTTTACGGATTGCTTACAGTTCAAATGGCAACTCCATTCAAACTCTCCTTGGTAACCCTAAGGATAAAATTCCATTCTTAGAAAAGTCGGGGATATATGAAATTAGTTGTAATGACTGTAGTAAAAAATATATTGGACAAACTAGACGTTCAATCAAAACCAGATTTAAAGAACATCTAGCTCATGCTAGGTTTGGTAGAGAAGAAAAATCTAGTGTTGCCCAACATATTCTTACTGATGGANCCCCTTTGGAGGTTGAATTTTTTAAAATGTCGAGATAGGTCTTTCAGAAATTAAATGAGAGACCATTAAGACCAAGTTTCAAGTAAATCTGACGACAAATAATACATGTTCCATTTAAACATTGCAACTCCTCTTCACTACTCCTCCCCCACACGGGAACAGGATAAAAAGTATCCTATGTCCGTCTCCTGGTTGTAAGCTACCTCCCCACCAATTTTCAGCCAAATCGGTTCAGCCGTTCTTGAGTTATAAATAGTGTAACTAGCACGACTTTCTTTTACACATATTGATTACAAATCTAATTTCAAAAATTGGGTAAAAAGGACTGGTTGGACCGCGGTCACCCAAACGGTTTTGGTCACATTTCAGTGACGTTTTTCAACATTGCAAGGTTTAACTTCTTATTTATTCACATTCTACAAATGGGTGGCATGGTCTACAGATTCAGACCGTTGATGCTGATTAATCAGGAGGACACTGTTCGATTGTGGGTCCGTCTGCCATGGTCCAAACTTTCGGTGGTTTATTTGGATAACTTAGGCAAATGCTGGGACAGTAATACATCACAGATAATCCACCAATCTCCAAGGTTCTTAAAAGGGGGGCCGGGGTCTTCCGCCGGATTAGTCCAGAGGGATTACCTGTCCGCCGGCTTTGGTAACGGGTGGTAATAAAATACCCAAAAGTTTTTTTTTTCAATTTCTCCAAGGGTCGCTAAATTTAACGCACGTGTGAAGAAGGTCACTTTATCACTTGTCGTTACCACTATAATTCATTCTCTAATTGGGATTCATTTTTGGAAAGAAAAATCCTTGAGATTGTTTAATAAATAATTACAGATGGTATCGTACAATTATTATTAATAGAAAGGTCAATATATACCGACAGCGTTCTAAACTTTCCCATAAGCTGATAAAATGGTAAACAGGCAGTGCTATTGATAATAAATGAATCGAGGAGTAACTTTCTTCCCATATTTGTGTTAACCACTTGCCATTATCACATCCATTCATTTGTTGCTTTCATGTTCACGAACGATAAATTTGGTACAGTTCGGCTCAAACAAAGTTTACCATTTATTCGAGACTTTTATTTCTGTGAGAAGTAAATTTCAATTTGAAGTTTTTACTTTGTTATTGCAAGTGTTTGAATAAGTTTTCTTTTTCAATTTGAACAAAATATGGCTATGATTTTACGGACTAGATTCAGAAAATACGTAAGAAGTGTAAGGGCAGCTATGTTCATGGGAGCAGTATTAGTGTATTTTTTCTCTGCTAGTAGCAGTCAAAAACTACAAACAGATATTAAGGGTAAGTATTTTGCTAACAAATTAGTGTTAATAAATTAAATGAATCAAATTGGGAAATATTTTGTTTAGTTTAAGCTGAACTTTGTGGTATTGACTCATCGACTGTAAAAAAGTAACTTGATTTTTCAATAAAATGATATGTGCATATAGAAATTTTAAATAATTTATTAGAAATTCCATTCATTCACTGTAATTGTAAAAATGTATATATTTTACATAAATATTAAAAAACTGTATTTATTTTAGTTAGATATACTCAAAATATATATCACTCCTTAAAATTTAATATCAATTTTTTAATAATTGCAGACAATTTACATTTAATCCAAATAACAAATTTTACAGTGTTGTACCTTTTGAAATTGATCAATTTATTTAAATTTTTTTATTTCCTAGAAGCTTCTATTCTTGTTTTATAATTATTTTTGAGTTCACAACAAATGAGCTAATTGAGAGTGAAATTTTAATTTTGTCAACAAATGCTGATATTTCCTCTTATGGTGTAATGTTTCGTTAAGGTTCCTATTAGTATTGATATTGATGGTTACTTATAATATGCGTAATAAATACTTTTTTTTAATTTTTTTTAATTAGTGATAAAAATATGCAAGTAAATGCAGATATAGACATATTCCTTTTTATGTCCTCGTTTTAAAAATCGTTATGAAAATCATTTATTAGAAAATAAATTTTTAAATTTCAACGGTATAATAAATATATAACTATAAAAAATTGTTTTCAATTTTGGATTTGTATTATTTCGGGTTCATTTGGGATGTCTCATTCAATCGTATAAATATACTCGCTCACTGGTGATAAAGACTATCAATAACGGTTTCAAAAACGTATTTGAAACGTAACAATACGGTTTCATAACGCACACTATAAAAAAAATTGATGCCCTAGTTACAAATATTATTACGTAAATTTTTCTAGCCAAAACGGTCTTTATAGTAATACTCCCCGCGGCTTCACTACCAGAAATTGATATTGTTTCTCCATAAATGTAATGTAGCCATCTTAGATTTCAAATACAAACGTAGCAACA